GAGACAATCCTCTGACAAAGAAGCCAGCTTCTTGGCCAGGTCCGCTGCCGATTTTGGCAAGATCACTGAAGGTGGACTATCAGAAAGGGCTGACTTTTCAGTTGGCCCAGACTTCAAATCTCCCTTTGCATCCTCCATTTCTGGAAATTCAAAACAAGCACAATCCATTCTTTACTTTTCTTTTTCCCTTCCAGTTGGCTTGCAAAAAACTTACCCATGGGCTCCCCTTCCTCATCTGAGTCCTCAACCAAAATTGGGAGGTCAGCCTCCTCAGCGTTTTCCTCCTGAGCCTCACTATAAGACTCATTTGGTTCAGCTGATTCCAGAGGTTCCATTATCTTATCAGAATCAGACATTTTTTCTTTTTGACAAATCTGTTTCTCTTTTATGTTTAAAAACACAAAAACTTCTCTGAGATAACTCTCCTTTTCAAACAAAGCTCTGTTAAAAGGGAAGAAAGAAGCCTGTTCATGAGATAATATCAGGAAACTGAAAAATTCTTTGAGAAGAGGAGATAATCAAAACTTAAAAAGTGATTGTTGCGGAATACTTCTAGATTCCCAGCCGGAAATCAAAAGAAACTAATGAAACCTTCTGATTCCCAACTGAGGCTCTAAAATTTATCCTTCAAAAAGAAAAGGGATTGATGAACCGAAAGGAGTTATCAGTACCCCAGTCAAAAATTAGAGGCAAATCTATAAACCTCTCATCTCTAACTGAGATACAGACCACCCCTCAAAAAAGGGGGGAGGAGTTTTTTGAATCACAAACACAAAATCTTTTGAAAAACTTCGACGCCAGCTATGGCATCGCTCATGAACTCGCGGAGGTTATCCTTATTCAAAAACCCAAGGATAAACCCCTCAACAACCAGATTAACACCAAAAGGGTACAAAAAATTCAAGCTGCCAGTTCTGGCACTAGACGAGATCGTCACAGTGGATATCCTCATTAAATTCAAGGATTATCCTTCTGACGACCACGCTCACGCCAAAAGGTTACACAAAAAAAAGAGAGAACCTGAAAACACTGAAGCAACAAAAAGAGGAGATAACCATCCGTCGAAACTAATGACACAACAAGAGGCGGCCGAGGAGGCTTCCTCATTTCAAACCAAGGATAACCTCTCGGCAACCCCTAAAAAATGTCAAATCCCCGGCCAGAGTTGGCACACTGCAGTTCCATCAGCACCCTGATGGTACTCGGCATGATCACCGCGGCGGTTATCCTCAATCAAAATACAAGGATAACCCCCCGGCGACCACGTCAAAATACCACCTGTGATTCAAAGAAACAGGAGAAATCACAAGATTCAATTAAAAATCCGAAACCGGACAAAAAAAAAACTCTCCCTTCAATGGGAAGTTAAAAATTAATGCCAAGAAAATGGACACTTTAAATTAAAAAAACCTTTGAAAGTTATTACAAAAGGAAGAACTCCTGGTCACTTTAAAAAATTCCCAAATCCAGAGGTTGATGAATCAAAAAATGCACTCAGCAACTCACTTGAAG